TATCCTAACTTTTTAACAACCTTCAACACTTATTTCTTTTTTCATTTTAGCTTTCAATTTTTCTAATTTTTAGGATGTTTATTTTCATAAATCAAATATTTTTTCTTTTAAATTTTGCAACTACAGACTACTATATAGCTCAGTATTCTGCAATTGGTGAATGTATTTGATTATATATATGCTAATTAAGATATTTTGTTATATAGAATCAAAAAAAATTACTAAATGTTATATATTTTAAATATTATTTTTGTTTTATTGGAATGTAATTCTATCAAGAAGATTTGAATTTGATTAATTTGTTATTGAATTTATTGGATTAATAGTAAAATACTTCTCAGTATATTCAATTAAATTTATAATAATTATAAATTTTACTTGAAAAAATTATTTTTTAGCTATTTTTTAAATTTATTCTAAATTTATATAATTTTATCAATTCATCGTTATTTGACTAATCTTTTTAAATGGTATTCATATATTGATTTAGGTCACTAAACCACTTATTTGAGCTTTCCTTTGTTCTACTTTGGTGTTTCAACTACAATCTTTATTCTTCTCTCCTCAAAATTTTAAATCAATCTCCAACATTGTTAATTTATGGTAATTTTTTTTATAACACTAATATCCTAGGTTCTTTCTCAAGCCCTAATTATTACTCTGAATTTTTAATTGATTTTCTTTTGAAGAAAAAATTATTTTTCAGTTCTTAATAATTATTAACCTGAGAGAGATTGTTTATTTTTATCTTTGTTAATTAAAAAATAATAGTTAATATCTATAATTTATGACATAAGCTTTAGGAAATTGTTAATATTATTTGATGGCTTCCTTAATCACTTAATTATGAGTAATTTAATTTAGGGTATAACGAGCCTTATGCAGATGGTTGGCATTTCACTATCAGATGTGATAATCCACATTTTAGAATCACCAATATATAAAATTGAAATTCTAACTATTTATATAAATTATTGCATCGAATATAATAATGATTTGGAACGGTATTCTAAGAATAAAATTGAGTTGATCTCAGTTTATTTAAAAAAAAGTACATTCTTTTAGATTTTAGAACTAGCAAATTGAATATAGCATTGTATATTCCAGAAATTTTCTTTGTCACTGGTACCAAAGTATCTCAATGTTTATTTAATCTTTATAAGAATAAAAATTATTAAATTCTAAATGATTCAAGTGAGCTAAATTAGATGATGAATAAATGAACCTGTAGATTTAATTATATAATATTTTTTGAATATAATCAGATGACTATTAAATACTTTTTTTAAAGTGTAATTTCAACCTTCTAACTAACTTGATAGGTTAATTATAACAATTTTAGAAAGCAGAATTAAAAAACTAAAGACAGAAGTTATAACTACTAAGATTGGATATAAATGACTCATTGAAATCCCTAATTCTATTATATTGATAACTGAGAAAATATATTATTATTTTAAATATTTAAAAAATGTAAGTAAGAATACTCCACGGTGATTAGTATATGCTTATTGATTGTTCAGGTGAGGCACCAGGTCGATCACTCTATGATAAAATATCCTTCAAGATTGAAAAGGATTAGAATGATTTCCAACTTTTAATATAAACCTTAAATGGTCCAATTGTTCTCGATAAAGATAAAACTCTCTCATAGCAAAATGTTGAATAGAACAATTGCTTAACTATCTAATTAAGGTTTTATACAAGATTGAAATTTATAAAATAGGACTCCGACGAAAGAGGCTAAAGGTGGAGCAAATAGAATTTCTGATTACACGATATACAATCAAAAAAACTAAGATGATTAAGGGTAACTTGATTGGCAGCAAAATTTAGGTAGTTGTTTATATTTAATAATAAAAGATTAAAATAAAGGATTTAATCAAAGACATCACTTATAATTTTAGACCCCATTAGCTTTTCCTGAACCTTTGGAAAGTTAAATATAAAAATTAAATAATTAACTAGTAGAATCAGAGGATAAATATCAAGACCAATAATAACGACATACTATTCCTTAATAATAATCTTATGATCCTTCTGGTTAATAATAATTTTCTTTTAGATATATTATTTAATAATAACCACCCGATGTACAAAATGGTCTTTAATAACAACCTTAAGGACCTTCTGTTTAATTTTTTAAACCCCCATAAAAACCATTTTTAGATCCAAAAAACTAATTTAATTTTAACCAAAATGGCAATCATTTTCCAATGTTTACGTAAATGTGGGACACTAAATAGAAACATAATCTATATGATAAATTAAAAAAGGATAAGAAAATTATTTAAGAGGAATTTGAAATTTCACAGCTATAATGTATAGAAAAAGATAATAAGATAACAAAACTAGAAAAATAATTTACTTAATTAGAAAATAAATATAAAAATAAGATTGATGAAATAAATGAAACACATATGAATGAAATGGAAGAAATAAATTAAAAACATAAAAATCAAGTAAAAGAAATTTATAAAAAACGGGAATCTGAAGCCAAAATGTTAAATTAGACAATCAATTCCCAAAAAATTGAAATTTAATAATTAAGGTATCATAATTGAAATTATAATATAGCAATGAAATTGTAAAGCTTACAAATAATAATAATGAACAATTGACAAAGAAAACTTATCTGAACAATCAGTAGAGTATATAAGTTGAGGAATATAAAAATTAAATTAATTTATTAGAATAAAAGAATAAAGATTTATAGAGAAAAAATGATGAAAAAATTGCAAGAATTAGTAATCTTGAAGAAGAGACATAAAATTTATCTTAATAGTTAGAAATTATTTAGAAAAAAACATTCAAAGATTAAGAGAATACAAATTAGACTATTTAATAGCAAGCCTAAAAGATTAGATAGCTTCAATCTAAAGTTGATGAGTTTTAACATTTAATATATTTCGAATAATAAAAAAGAGAGGATAGAGATAAATAGAACAATAGATTATAGGAAAGAGTGAAGGATTTTCAAAATGAGATAGAATTAAAAGAAATAGAAATAAAAAATAATAAAAAAATTATTAATTATCTAGGAGAATAATCTCAAACAATGTAGGTTGTAAATAAAGCAGATAAAAAATTCGATTAAAAACTTTAATAATTGTTAGAAAAAATGGAAAGAGAAATATATGCTAAAAAAAAATAATTTGAACAAAATAAAAAAGATTATTTAAGATTATAATAATAGGATGCTTAATAGATTGAAATATAAAACGAAAGAAAGTAAAAAATTAAACTTTAGAAACAGTAAACAGCTATGAAATTAAAGGAAATAATTTTGAATACTTAAGGAATACTTTAAGTTGGACTTTTGGTTGATGTAACAGGATCTATGGATA